ATATATATATATATATATATATGCTATATACATAATGCATTCAACCTCACAGTTCTGCCTAGTGCATATGTAAATAATAGATTCTCCACAATAATTTCCAGGGAACAGCAATGACCCTTTGGTTTTTTACACAACTTTACACTAATGCGGTGTGTGGCTTGCAAATATATTTTCAGTCAAAGAAATATAAATCTCATTGTTAAAAAGGACATTCCATTTATAGGTATTTTGTATCTATAGTTTGATTACCGTGAAAAATCTCTATGACTATTTAATGGATAAATTCCTCCCACTGCAGCAATACTCAAAAGACTCAAGAATGTCAGTAAGTAGTTAGTTTAGTTCTGCCGATGTTTTCTTTCCATAGCAGGTCTTTACCTATAAAAGAAGCAGTGTGTCAGTTTATAGTCTGGCACGAGCTCCTTCTCTTGTTGTGAACCACTATCAAAGAATGTGTGGAAATCAGGATCTCCCTCATGTTCACTGCAGCGTTATTCCCAACAGCCAGGAGATAGAAACAGCCTCAATGCCTATGGACAGATGAATGGATGAAGAAACCCACCATCTGCAACAGTATGGACAAACCTTGAGGACCTTATGCTAAGGGAAATAAGCCAAACGTAGAGAGACAAGTCCTTCATGGTATTACATATAAGCGGTATCTAAAGTAGTTAAATACGTAAAATCTGAGAGTAGAATGGCAGTTGTCAGGAGCTGGGGAAGTAGGAAGTGGAAGAAGTGGGTATAAAGTTTCAGTTACACAAGACGATTAACTTCTAGAGATCTGCTGAACAACGTTGTGCCTATAGTTAATATTACTGTGATGTACCTTGAAAAATCTGTTAATAGGGAGGATTTCATGGTAATTGTTCTTACCACACAAACAAAACCCTATGGGGAGGTCATCATCCTCCATCCGTTCATATATCAGAGACATAACCTATTTGATAAATAAAAATGGAAGTAGTCAACGTTTCATTAATGGAACTTTCTGGTAATCTAATCTGTTTTTAATTGATAGGAAGTATGAGTTTAGAAGTAAAATTGTGGTGAAAAAAGAATCGTTAAAATGTAATCCCAAGCGGGGGGAAGAACAGTGAATGGACCAGCACCATTCCGTGGACGACATTTTGAGCAGCCATGCAAAAACCCCTCAGACTTCAAAAAGTGGCCTTCTGTATAAATTCCTTCAAAGGAATAACATATTCCACTAAAATACAGCTCTAATTGTTAGAAAGTTAGAAAGTTCTTTACAAGTTGAATTGAAATCTGGATCCTTGAAATTTTGCCCACTGGTTCTAGATCACTCTTGAGTTACATAGAACATATCTGCTCTCCTTCAGAAACAATACCTCAGATATTTGACAGTGGCTATTCTGTCTCACCTTAGGCTTCCATTTCCAAGTTGGCAAGGCTCCTTCCTTTCTCTGTTCCTCATGAAATGAGGTCTCCTTACTGAGGTAAACGTTTCAAGCACACGCAAAAGTAAACAGTATAATAACCACTTATGTACCTATCAGCCGGCTGTTAACAATTTTTGACTTTTTACCATTTTACTAATCTTAGTTCATCTAGTCCCCTCTTCTTCAGGAATGTTGTGACGCAAACACCATACATTGTGACATTTCGTCTATAGTTTCTTTAGAACGTTTTCAACTGACGACATGTTTCTTTTTTGTATAACCACGTGTCATTAGTGGAACTAACAATTTCAACAATTAGGTGTATTAAGCTTAATGAAGGCTGGTGAAGCTTACTTATTTAATAAGTGACAGCATAAACATCTTGAAAACCACAAAGAGCACTTGCACGGTTTTACATACAGAGCGATTTGGAATTGATGATTTAAAAAGAGATCCTTAAAATTGTGAGTTCTGCAAAGTCAGTGGAATTTGGTCTCATTGATTTTAAATCCTTATAGACATTTTGAGGAGAGGCTATCTTAAAAAAAATATTTTTCTAATAGAAGTAATGCTCTCTTTCAACTTATCTCTAATGTGTCCCTGGAGGCAAAGGAGGGAAAATCTTCTTGACCTGATAGAATTGAAAGTGTTGGAGGTTGAAGGTGAAGGAAAGAGGATTACTTCTGGAAGGTCATTGCTGAATGCTTATTCCCTAGACTTTTGAGGTCTAGAAGTACTTTCATAAGTTACTATAACCTGAGAACATTAGAAAGATAAGGGCATTTGAACAAGGATAGAAGTAGTTCAATATTAGAAGGTAGGTTGTATCAGAATATCCCATTTAGGGAGATGTCAGATGTTCAGAAATTTTGAGCAAGCTCTGGGGAATGAACCTGGGAATAAATCATTAGAGATTCCACTGACATGAATAATGAGCCAAATCTTACTTTTACAAAATGCCTTCAATTAATGATAAGCTGTAATATTTGTAGGATTGCTAGAAAGAAAACAGCTATGGTCACCTTTCTTCACTCCATCTTATCCTGATTTAAAGAACATTGGTCCACAATAAAGAAATATGCATGCATATATAAATAATTTAAAAATTACCTGTCATGATGACACAGGAAAAATAAATCAGAACATATGGATTCGTCCCTGATTTACTTTTGATTTATTTATATTTTGTGTATGAGTTACGCATCCTGCTAAAGTCATTAGTTCTTCCTAAAATACAATAGGAACTGTCACAATGCGTGTTTCTTATTAACCAGCGTCGTTGATTCTCTCCCATCTCAGGTTACGTGATGTTCAAAAGTAAGCAAGAACACTTCATATCGAGGGAAATAAGATTTTACTTCTCAAACTGCGTTAGTGACTCTTTAGAAAATGTCCTCTGGAAGTTATCATAGGGTGTAAAGCCATCCTGCAAATATTAAGTTTAAATTCAGTTCTGTGTATCCAGGGGAAGAAGAGTCTTCCTTGATTGTTTTCTCTTGGATGGGTTTATTATATCCAACACATATTTATTAAGCTTTTGTTTAAGTCCAAGACGCTACCCTGGTGGTTATAAGGACCCAACAAAAACTCATTGATTACTAGGACCCTGTATTCTGATTTGGGAGCAGGACACAGACACCCAAAAAGATGTCTATGGAATCTGATATTAAGGACCTCTAAATCCAAGGTGAAGAATGCCATATAGCTATTACATTTTGTCCATAGTTTAAAAAGGAAGCAACGGTGTGGGCAAAGTTGTTGAGCAAGGTTTAAAGGAAGAGGGAGGACTCGATCAGGTTTTGAAAATACTGGCAGCATTTGAATTCGTGGACAGGCCGTAGAAAGGCATCCAAGGTGGGAGGGGCAATACAAACAACGATATGGGAGTCAAACTGAATAAGGCAGGGTTGGGCCACTGTTGGTGGAACAATTTCACTGGAATACAAGGCTCCCAGGAGAAATGGTTGGGAATTAGGAAGAAACCAGGTGGTGAAAGGCTTTGAATGTCAATGAATCCTTCACTCTGAGAGAATTCAAGAGCCTTGGCTGTTTGTATGAAAGACCGGAGTCACAAAGGACCAAAACTGAGGGGATTAGGAGGCTGCTGTACCACCAGAGAAATGTGGAGGAGAGCACAATGAGCAAGGGCACCTTGGTCATGGAACGGGAGGGATGGGTGTGAAGGGCAGCCGGAATGATTTTCTAAGATTTGGTGAATATCTGAAAATGAGGGAAGATGAGGGCGTCCAAAATATTTCAGAGCTTTGGAGCTCAGTGACCGGGAATGATGGTCAAATGTGGTCACGACGGTCCACGGTCTCTGGCAGCTAAAGAAATCAGTCTCCACTGTGCTTAAGCTACCATGGCAGGCTCAGGGAGCATACGTGGGCCCTAGTTTGTGTGCTGCACCTGCAGTCCTTCTGGAAGCACCTGCTGCATCTCTGACCTACCCAGACTGTGTCATCTTTGGGTGCTTCCGGGTGAGGCTTCACTTACACACGTGTGGGCAGGTGGGTTTCTCTGGCCTCTACCTCTGGATGAACCCTCCATCTTGCACATGGCAGGATGAGAACCCATCCGTACGACTTCACTACAACAAACATCCCACGACCTGTCTATCTGGAATCACCAACCTCCACCCTCGTGAAGATGACAGTGTCTGCAAGGACAGCAGGAGTCTCGTCCAGAGATTAGTCAAAGAATCTCACCAGGGATCACAAGTCTTCCAGTTCTGGGTGAACCAATGCTTTATCCTCATTCAGTTGTTTGACATTAATGACATCCACGTGACATGGAACAAAGGGACTATTCTCGGCCTCTGAGGAGACTGATTCCAAGCAAGTAGACAAATGTTCTTTTGGAGGCTTTCTTTCGCTTGCCTTCTTTTTGGCTTTTTATATTTTTCAGTTTGGCCTTTGTGACTGTGAA